GAAGTTCTTACAGGAAAAAACCAGAAGAAAGCTACAATCTAACCTTGAAAATTTGCACTTTTTGAGAATGAAATCAGCATATGTAGGATGAAGATCGAACAAGAAAACAACACCAATTTGGTTAATAGACAAGAATTGGACAAAGTGAAGTGGAAGTTGTTTAGTCAAAAAGTGGCACTGATTTTGTTATTTGTATTGTATGTGAAAATGTTGATTTGATGTATTAGGGTTGAATGATGTTGTTCAAGATGTATAATGGTTGGATGATGTAGTTCATGAATGAAACTTGATTGGTATTAGAATGATGTAGTCCACCTGTTCTTGTGTATGCTTATGTATGTAATTAAAGCAACAAACTTGTGTTACATGTTTTTGCTTCTGATGTAATGAATGGAACTTTTGTATTAGAATGAAATATAATTAAACACTGTAATGGTATATAATTAAACATTGTAATGATATACAATGACACATAGGAATGTAATATAATCAAACATGGGAATACATTGTAATGGTATATAATTAAGCTTTGTAATGGTATATAATGACACATGGGAATGTAATATAATCAAACATTGTAATGTAATTAAAGCAAACATTGGATTCTCGGGAACAGGGCCGGTCCTGAAAAATGAAATATTTTTAAAGGCCCAGGACGAACAAGAAAAAAATGGCCCTTATCTTTATTATAATTTTGTATTTCTAAATAAAAATATATAATGAAAAAAATTGGGCCCTGTGCAGCTGCCCACTTTCCCCCCCCCCCCCCCCCCCCTCTAAGCCCCCATGCTCGGGAAACATTGTTTACAAAAGATGTGCCATAAGTTAGTTTTAACACAGTTACACATGCAATACTGCTAAAAGTTACACATAAGATTCCAAAACACATATGACTAGACAAAAGTCCAAAAGCTACACATACAACTAGACAAAAAAAATTCCCAGTCAATGATGCCAAATTCTATTCCAATTCCATTGGATTTTCACCACTACTCCCCTGTTTCCCTTCCCACTTCTTTCTTATCTGAATTTTCGTGATTCTTTCTGAAGGTTTCCTTCTTCTTTTTTTTTCCCTATAGAATTTGAAATGCTGGTACTTCTTGCATATGCTCCTCTTCCACTGGATCTTGAACTGCATCTTGTCCTTGGTCATCCTGTCCAACTGGATCTTGAAGTGCAACAAGTTCTTCACCTTCTTGACCTTCACCCTATCCTTGAACTTCAACTGCAACCTAGTCTTCACCATCTTGAACTTCAACTTCAACCTATGCTTCAACTTCAACATGTTCTTCAATCCCTCCAACTACACCTTCACCATATCCTTGAGCTTTAACTCCAACCTCAGGTTGGTCTACATCTTCATATCTATGACTATCCTCTTCAAAATCAACTTTATAAGACTCCACCTCACTATCAGACTCCATTTGAACTTCATTGTCACTATCACTTGCCACATCAACTTCTTGAGCTAATTCAACCTTCACTTTACATGTTATGAAATAATTTAAATGTTAGCATTACAAACTGTTATATTGTAATCTAAATGTAAAGGAGAACACATACCTTCTTTTTTGGCTTTTTTTTACTTTGGTTTTTTATTTGACTTTGGTTGTGGATCAGATGATTCCCCAATTGGTTTTTGAGGACATTTGGTTTTATTATGCCATGTTTCCCTACAGATGTTGCATCTCATGATCATACCCCTTTTTGAGAATGTATGCTTATTGCCCTTTAGTTCCCTCTCAATTTGATCCCTTTTCCTTTTTGTTGATGGTCTTCCTGGCATCCTTCTCTTTTTGGGAGGCAATGGCTTGATTTAATCAACATCAGACCACATATCACTTTCATTGAGTGGCTTAATGGTGTACATATATGCATTACCAAACATTGTTGTGTCAACCATGGTGACACATAGTCCTCTGGATCCCTATTGAGGTTTGAAATGGCAGCATATGCATGCACACAAAGGTAACCAATTAATTTACAAGCTCTACATGCACATGTCTTCTTACCAAGGTCTACAAAATATGTATCATATCCAAGCCTCACTTCAAATTCTTGATAACCAGATGGTACAACTCTCCAAAATCTGTCCATACACACATATAAACGTAAGTATAAACAATTGAATGACACACACACACACAGATATATATATATATATATATATATATATATATATATATATATATATATATATATATATATGTAAGTATAAACAATTGATAACCAGATTGTACAACCACTAACCTTTGAAGTACCTTAATCTTAGACAATTTCAGTCTAATGGAAGGACATATGTGTAAGTCTCCCCAATAACTTCCCTTACTTTTCTGTGTAAAAAGTCTCTCCATAACATAAATTCTAATTTCCTCTAACATAGTGATTAGAGGTCTCTTCTTGGCATCATCAATGACTGAGTTAAAACTCTCAGATACACCATATTCATATGCATCACATGCCCTATCAGTCTCAAAGAATGCTTTACTCCAACTTTTAGGATCCCTCTCCATCAGATGATCATAGGCAAGTGGTTCTAGCTTCTTGATTTCATTCATATGTTGCTCAAATTTAACCTGGGTAGTAGAAGCAGCAGCATACCAGAAAAGTTTACTGAACTGTTGCCCCTTAAATTTTTTCAAAAAGTTAGCGCATATGTGCCTGGAACATTGTCTATTCTCTATTGTAGGCACCCTTTCCTTGACAGCCTCAAGTAATCCCTGTAAGCATTATAAACAAAACATAAGCTTCATATAAATTAAGTATTAAATAAAGAGAGTAGATAAAATCATTACTTTGTGTTGGTCTGATATTAATGTCAATCCACGCCCACTTCCCATTTTAATGTCATCATGGAGAAGGTCAACAAACCACTTCCATGTTTCTTTACTCTCCACTGCAACCACAGCCCAAGCAAGAGGGTAGATATGGTTGTTTGCATCCCTACCTACAACAGCAAGCAACTGACCTCTGCAAATTCCTTTTAATAAGCAACCATCTAGTCCAATTACCCTCCTACAACCTTGAATCCATCCATCCTTCACACCTTTTAAAATTATACAAAACTTTGAGAAGTAAGTGGTTCCATCAGGCATCACATCTACATCCATCTTCACTGTTGATCCAGGGTTAGTCCTTCTTAGCTCCACTCCATAGCTCCAAGTTTTAGCATAGTGTTCCTGTAAAGTACCATTTATCTCCTTAAATGCATAACTCCTAGCATTCTTGCACTATCCCACACTTGCAATCAAATTAAATCTCTTGCTAACTTTAGCCTTTAATTTCCTCACACTCATCTTTGGTTTCTGGAGTATCTCATTCATGAAATGATTCCCTATCCATTTATAGCTAACAATGGACCCAAATTTGAAGACTCTTGAGCAATTATGGTTATCAATTAAAGATTTAATTTTGAATGACCTTTCATTGGTCATCCAGGTTGCCCACAACCTAAAGGGACAACCTTTATTCTTCTTATTCTTCTTACCTTTGCAACATTTCACCAGTAACCTGTTATGATCACTTTTTTCATACCATAAATCATACCCATTCTTCACTACATAATTGGTTACACATAGCTTCAGTTGTATTGGGTTAGCAAACTTCATACCTATAACTGGCACCATCTTATCCCATTCTTGTTTCTCATCATGGACAGGGAATACAACCTTATCATCTATAAAATCATTAGGTTCATCATCATCACTGAGGTTACCAATACCTGAAAGTTCGTTTAAAAAATCGTCACCAACAGTTTTGTTAAAGGTATGGACTTCTTCATCAACTTCATTTTCATATGCCATAATATCATCCAAGTCATCCGCTTGTTCCTTATCATCCTCTTCTTCCTTATCATTCAAATCATACATGTTACCATCTGATAACACCTCATTGTCAGCCCAATCAAGGATTAGTTCTTTTTGGTGGTCAATGTTGACATCCAACTCAACTTCGGGAGTATAAGTAGCTTCAACAAACTCCCAATAATCAACATCACTGTCGATTCTTATAATACCCTCAGCTAAGGTTTCCTTTCTACTACAATAATACACATCATTACAACTTCCTTTGGTTAAATCCCTAAGCCACAAAAGAAACTCTTTATATGTAAATCATCCAAAATCAACATCACACACTATTATTGTTTTGGGGTCTAAGTATTTCAACGGATTTGAGGCAAATAGTCCCCTGTAATGAACATCTACAGTTAGATACTTATCTGTAGATGATGGGGACGCCATCTTACAGTCGACTTCAACACGTAGCTTCAACTCCAAACTCTAATCTTCAATTTGATAAATCGATACTAATTAGGAGGTGATTTCGGACAAATTGAACTTGTTGAACCCTAATTAAATGAGAAACGGGTGTAATGTCCACGTAAGAATCCACGTATTTCACTTTAACTGAGGTTAATCGATGCTATCGGGTAAAGCAGGTGATAGCCGGTCATACTACCTAACTGTGAACATACAAAACAAGTTAGTTTCATTAATGTGTACAAAAAAAAAAAAGAACATTACCTATATATGGATAACTGAAATAGTTAGTTACCTTAACAAGTCATTTTCCTCTTTAACAATGGATTCGAAGTTCAAGCAACGTGAACGTATCATTGCTAGTTTTATAGTGTTTATTTTAGGACAAAATGTATAAAAAAAATTAAATTTTTGTCTACTTTATCATGTTTTTTTAACCATTTTATTGTAGAAAAAATGAGTTCCTTGACCTATATGATAAGATTATAGTTTTCTTCACTAAAATCACTCAATTTGAATCACGATGCAAAAAAAAAAAAAAAAAAAAAAAAAAAAAAAAAAAAACCCTTCTAGGAAATTGAAATTGTTAGTTGTCGTAAGAGTATGACTTTTTCAAAAGTTTGTGGTTTGCGCAAAAAACCTAATGACACGCTTAATCGGCAAATATTGCACCATAAAATTTTTCGGTGGTTGTTGGTACTAAAAACCCATATTGTATTATCTATATATTGAGATAGCAAAGAAGCACCTTAAAAAGATCACAAAATGAGCAAGGGTGATATATATTGAGAGATATGAAGCTTTCAAAAAACCGAATGAAGATAACTTCTTAAGAAAACATGTCATCCCCTCACATGAAGATATCCCAATAACCAAAAAATGCATTCTCCAATCAGATCATCTACAACAATCTTGTCGCAAAACTCATGCGAAATGACAATATATATATATATATATATATATATATATATATATATATATATTATATATATATATATATATATATATATATATATATATATATATTTGAGACGTTATGAGTGTATAGTATATGATGTTGAAGGCCTCAACAAATTCGGTAGTTTATAATTTATATAAAAGTTAGAGGCGGATTGAGACCTAATTATCCATGGTTTTATTATTAAACTACTTATTTGGTAGATTTTATGTAATTTTATGCAACAGTTTAAAAAATATAAAATTAATATAACTACGTAAGATACTTGTTTTTTACCAAAAACTGAAACAACAGGAAACAAGCACAGTACATTAGTACCTACCATTGAAAAACATATTTGAAATTGCTTTTTAGCATATTCTTTCAGCCTTTTGCACGCTTAATAGACATTCTTTGCAACATCGTGATTTTTCTTTGTTTCTTTTATAGGCTCTTTTCCCTTCAATTATGCTACTTTAGGGGCTTTTTGTGAAATTTTTCAAAGGATTAAACTACTTATTTGTTAGTCATTCTCTGCGGAATTATGATATTTCCTTAAATGGTTTCTCCTTCACATTCAAACATCATTATAAGGTGCTTGTTTGTATTCTTCCATATTCTCATTCATCTTAAACACATGTAGTAAGGACTTAACAAACCTAACCATATTTTCTCTTAACCATAAAATACATGCTGATAGAAACTTTGAGGACGCCTAGGCAAATAAGAACTATTAACGACACGATGAACAAATTTTACAATTAAAAATTTAAAAGTCCATGCATTGCTATTTATGTCAAAATCAGAATTAACATAAATTCCAATATTTTCACAAAGTTGTTTGGTTATTTTATTAATGTTCTACAATTGTTGTGGTTGTCTAGTAGGCTATTTTTTGAAAAGATCACAAAGGAATTTAAGAAAAAAAAAAGTGAGAAAAACAATTGGTAAACGAAACACATTCAATTGTTATGAAACATAAAATGAATAATAAACTCAAGTCTAGTTTTCCTCCTGTCAATTACTGATCCCCAAAAATTTAATCATCAAAAACATACATCAAAACTATCAAGAAAAACAAAGGACATGGCAACACAAAACTCAAAGCAAACATGTCTATGGATCAGCAATGGTGACTTCAACCTCAACACCAGGTTCAATGGTGATAGAAGTGATTTGCTTCACAACATCTGGTGAGCTGAATAGATCAATCACCCTTTTGTGGACACGAAGCTCAAATCTGTCCCATGTGTTTGTTCCTAATCAAAAAATGAAAAAAAAAAAATTCAAGAATCTTTAAACATAAAGAATCCAATAACTGTATAATGAAAAAAAAATCAAGAATCTTTAAATATAATGAATTGAATACCTTCACCACAAGGAGATTTCCTGGTTGTGATGTTAAGAACCTTTGTTGGCATTCTAACAGGTCCTTTCACTCTTAGTTTCTTGTCTTTGGCCCCACGAACCAAATCAGAACAAACTGTGATTTTCATGAATAAAAACAAATCCTTTTAAACTTCTTGAAATGATAAGATTGACAGAATAGACAAAGAAGATTTGACATCAAAGAAACAAAAGTAATGAGTTTACAGTAAGGAGCAAATTAACAATCAATGGTTGAAGAAAGTGATACCTTTTTCAAGATTCTTGACGTTCTTTGAGGAAAGTGTGATTCTGATCTTGTGAATCTGCTCTTGGGGCTCTTCTAGCCCTGGCTTTGTTGGCTTCATTGCTGCATACGCCATCTTGAAAGAGCTATAAACAATAGAGTTAAAATCATTTATGGATGCTGTGAATAATTATGTTTCAATTAACTCTCGTTGTTCTAAATGTGCTTCAAATCGGCGACACAATAGACCAACCATGATTATTCTAAATGTGCTTCAACGCGCAGATGAGTTTTACAGAATTGGTCACGATTGATTACTGAAGAACTAACATTGCAACAGCTATTAATTGTTTGCAATGCCACTGGTTCCAAAACGTGATTACCAATACAACATAATAAACATCACAAAATTGCAAACATATAGAGGATAGGATAGTCTTAGCAATCGGAGACTACAATATCAATTGATAATCAGTTAAGTTCATTAATTTATTTGCTTCATTTATATTCCACAAGCATTTTACCCAATCAATTCCCGGATCTGATGGTCACTAACGACTTATAGAAAGACCGAATAGATAACCAAGCTTAACTAAAGATTTCATAAAAGAGATGGAATTGAAAAGTTAACGTGAATGGAAAGCAAAGGAACCTGAAAATTTACTCCGACGAAGGACAGCTGAGTTGCCTTCTTGCCTCTGCCTGTGATGATGATGCTCGGAATACAGCAAATGAAACCCTAGGTCAGTTTATACCCTAAGGCCAAGCGCCCAAGCTATAGAATTTAAGGCCCATAAAGTTGGGGTTTGTTACTTCGTTACATTTTATTGGGTTAGGCCCAAGAAAAAAGTTAACTTTTATAGTTTCACAATTCATATTGTTTAGGGTCATATGGTTTTTAAATTTATTATTATTATTATTATTATTGCAAAAGATGGTTAAGTATAAAAATATAATACAAAAGATATAAAGTATATAAAATCAAAAGTAGGCATCACCGTCGTCGTTTTAAAAGTTTATGAGGTTAGTCGTGGTCAACAGTGTTGCACAATTGTTTTTTATAGTTGTGTTTTTCCACAGTAAGTAAATCCGACATTTCCATAGCTATTTCTTTCTCTTTTATTTGTTATTTGACATTCATAATTTTGCCTTCAAATGGATACATATTTGGTATAAATTTCATATCATCAAGCAACCCTTTCAAGCAAATACATACATCCACCCATGTCAAGTAGAATCGGAAATTGAGATTTCTTTTATTTCTTCCAACAAGATAAAATATCATAAATTTCAAACTCTTGTATCTTTACATGTGCTAAACAATCGGATCCAATATACGTACTTTGTTTGCTAATAGGGGTGCTAGTCCAAGCTCATTTAGTAGCATTATTTTTTAAAGTAAATGTTTCGTTATTTCTTTGTATCAAAATCTATGTCTTCGTCGTGTAAACTCAATTCATAAGATATGCAGTGAAGTAAAGTTTCAAACAAACAAACATTTATCATTGTGTTCAATACACAGTAATACTTGGAGACAATTCTTTTAAAATTTTCAAATTTAGCTTAATTTGCATAATATATGTTTAATGACTAACAACTTTTAGGATAATAAACTTTCGATAAATGAGTAGTTGGTTTTTTAAAAACTTTAACAATTTTAGTTAATTGTTTGATAAGCAACCAACTCTGACTCTAGTATGGCTTAACCCAATTTCATAGTAAAATACTTTCAAACATATTACATATTGACGTGATCGAAAAAACAAACTTAATTGAATCACAATCTTTGTCATTATTTCCCTAACCAAACTTTGATCAAAACTCCAAATGGTGCCTTCGATTCACCATTATCAATTGATCTCTATCCCGATCAAATTTCACTATCTTGCAAATATAATTTTGAATGGTTTCTCAATGTCATATTTCCATGTTCCTTAAAGAGTTAGACAATATTTCTTGCATTGATATTTATCAAAGTTCACTCGACATTTGACTAGTCGGAGTTGTAATTTTGTCAAATCATTGAATTTCTTTTTGTAGGTTTGGCCCAATAAACCATCAAATTGTTTGACAGAATTTGCAAAACGCGTTTTGTGCGCTAAATTGTCGGGCCTATAAATAACTTTACAAAGTTAGAAATATTTGCTTATTGACATGCACAACGAGTTGAATAATATGTAATTAGGATTGAAGGAAATGTAACATGACTTGAAGAAAAAGAACGGAAATGATAGTTTTAAGTGATATGTTTTCTTTATACTTTCTAGATTAATAACATGGCAGCGAAAATATACAAATTTAATCTAAGGCAAAAAATTCTAAAACCTACAAGGATCTTAACTTAATTAATCTAGACAACTACAAGAGGGATAAAATTTTACTACCCTTTAGCAAAATTAATTTGGTTGTATACCTTTGATGTGAATCGTATTCAACAAGCAAAGGAAGTGTAACCAAAGTATGTTATCTGTAATGGTTCACACCCAACAATATCAATCTATTTGATGTTAGAATAACCCTTGGAATAATTTAGATTAACCAATGAGTTAAAGAGAGAAGAGAAACTCTAGGAATGATTTAGGTATTGTTTGATAGTTCTTGTCTAGGAAAGTATTGTCTAGAAAAGTCATTTGAATGAAAAACTAAAACAATGTTGTTTGATTGTACATCTGACTGACTGTGCTAACTAATGAAAAATTATCATATTACCCTATTGTTCTATACTATGATGGATGAAATTGTTGCATAGTTATAAAAACATAAAAATTGTCATACAAAATAAAAATTACACAATAATCATTTAAAATC